CTTTTCCGGCAACACAGAAAGGAGAATTCTACTTAGTAAGGGCTATAAACCCTAAGCGCGGCCGAAGGCCGCCTACTCAGAGAGAAGTTGTGCGCAAAAATACTTCCGCCCTTCATTTCCGGCAACACAGAAAGGAGAATTCTATTTAGTAAGGGTTATAATCCCTAAGCGCTTCCGAAGGCCGCCTACGCAGAGAGAAGTTCTGCGCAAAAATACTTCCGCCCTTCTTTTCCGGCAACACAGAAAGGAGAATTCTACTTAGTAAGGGTTATAATCCCTAAGCGCGGCCGAAGGCCGCCTACGCAGAAAGAAGTTCTGCGCAAAAATACTTCCGGCCCTCTTTTCCGGCAACACAGAAAGGAGAATTCTACTTAGTAAGGGCTATAAACCCTCAGCGCGGGTGAAGGCCGCCTTCTCAGAAAGAAGTTTGTTTTCATGTATGCACTATTTCGGTTTTTTTCATATGCATTACTTCGGGTTTGAGTCGAAAATGTGCATTATTTCGTATGCACAGGTTCCATATGCACAATTTCAGGGTGCCTTTTGATTTATATTTTTTTTTTTGCCCACGGTGTCATCCCTTTTTTCCATTCAAAGTACGTTCGAACAGTTTTTTATATGGAAGAGAATGCCTACCATTGTCAACAAAAAAAATTGCAAAAATCAACGGTATTTTGTATCCACTTGAAACTTGCATTTTATTATACCAAAATTGAATGGGCTAAAAATTGTATACCTACAAAAAATTTTCTAAAATTATGAATGAAAAGTATGAAATTTTTGTGAAAATTTGTTGAATTTTTACAATTTTTGTGCACAGTTTGAAATGTGGTTTTATCTGGTGTTTATTTTAAAATTAGCTAGACTTTTATAGATAAAAAAATTTAAACATTAAATAAACCAAAGAATTCCTTCCAAAACTGGTTAATACACAGCGAGTCTATTATTTCTGCTAGCAGTATATATTCGTATTAATACATATGTATATGTATTTAAATTCAGTCCTTCGACTTTATAATGTAGCAGTTTTACGTGTTTATACCGATATATAAATGTTTCAGTAATTTAAAACTTTGCGAGAGATTCGATGCATAAATAAATAAGTTAACAGTTTAGTGTAAATTTACATTAAAGTAATAACACAGTCCAAAAAATTTACAAAAATGTTACTCAACACGAACAAACGCTATATACATATGTATGTATGTATGTACATAGGTATTAGAAAACAGTACTAGTATAGACCCTGCAAACCATTTTTTCAGAGTATTCTGCATTGTAAAGAAATTTCAAAGAATTCGTTAAGATTTAATTTGCCGAATTTTCTAAAATGAAATAAATCACGCACACTTCCTTTCTTTTACGAAATTTCGGAAGAAAATATGTGAAGCAACGAAAATAATGTTGCTATGTGAAGAATATCTTACAGAATTTTCTTTATTTTTCGTACAGAAATTTCTTTACGAGTTCGTGTCAACCACTTCATATAATTTTCTTTGAAAATTCGTAAAAAAATCGTTACAGAAATGAGAGACTCCTAACGATTTCCTTAAAATTTCGGGAACTTTGGTTTGCAGGGGAGGGTCTGAGTTTTTATTACGTAAGGTTAAAGTTTTAACATTTTGGCTGAAAGTCGAATTACTGGCCCTATTATGTATGGCGACTGGTGTCTAATTGCTGGCCTAGTAGCCATGGCTACCAATATTGTACTTCGTATTATGTTTAGCGATTATTCTCAGTATTCAAAAAAGCACAGACAACATTCGAGTTTACTTTTTTGACATGTTTATTTCGAAGTAATTGGCAACTTTGCTCCAGTGTGTTTGACAGTTTACGTAAACAAATAACAAAATCATCATAAGTGGGAAACAGATAATTGCTACCAGACTCAGTAGCTAGAAAGTTGCCATACGTAATTCGAATTTAAGTACATTAAGGTCTCTTTTTATGCGAACTTGAATTTATGCGGTTTTTGAAATCATTTTTTCACTGTAGTGATTTTGTCTTTTTGAGAGTAGTTATTACTTTTTTTCAGTGTGTAAGAGGCAATGCTTCTGATAATTAATTTGTCTTTGTATTCTTACATAATTCATGCATTTATTGTGGTATTATTTTTTTGTTTTTGGTTAAAACACAGATGCAATTTTATTTATTTCATCAATGTTCAGGTTTACATGGAATAATAAGTATTGAAGTGAAGAAATAAATTGTTTTGTTTTGCTTAATATTGCCTCACTTGATTATTTTATGCGTTTCTGTTTAGAATTTTTGAATGGAGTATCTGTATTTATGCAGTTTTTGAAAATTCGTGAACACATCCCCTGTTTTTGTATGAAAGTAAAGAAATTTTTTATGCGTATTTTTTTATGCGGCTTCCTGAGGAATGCTATCAGTCGCCATACATAATAGGGTCACAATTTATCGAAAATATTATGTATACAACTTTTTCAAATATAATTTCTGCCCTCAGACTTTATCAGTAAAATTTAGCAAAC